TTAGCGAATGCAAACTTTCGGACATTTTCCTGAAGTATCGGGGTAACGCATGAACGTTTTTGCCAGAAACCGTCTCGTTTGTGATTTAAAAATTTCGAAATTTTCGGATAACCAAAGTTCAAAAAATTTTCTTCGGAATGAAGAGATAATTTAGGCAAAATTGAAATCGTTCTATAAATTTCAACAAGACTCCTGCTTTCTTTCTTGTGAATTGGAGTGACGAAAGCACATTTCCAGAGATTAGGCCAGGAGCGTTTTGATAGGATATTTTTCTAAAAGCAAGTAAGCGAACGGGGCGAGACAAGCCCCACAATTCCGTATGACAGTAGCAGAGACTCCATCATATGCTCTAGAACTCTTAGATACATTTTGAAGTGAGGAGCAAATTTCTTCCTTGACGATTACAATTTCATCTTAAATAATTGAGGGGTTTTCGCTTTTCGAGATCACAACATCAAAATCGACATTTAGTTGAAAACTGAAAAGAAATATCTATTCCGTTTTTTGACTCTTGTAGGACACGATTGAAGGGTAAATTTTGGAGCCATTGATCGCTTCAAGCAGAGCAAATGCTTCTTTAGTGCTATAGGATTTTGATTTCCGTAGCAATGCAAATTCATCCAGATCAATAAAATTTTTGACGTCGGTTGCTGAGTAAATTTTGTTGAATTGTTCTTCTTTCTACGAGCAGTTTCAAGTTTGTTCATCTTGTGGATTGTTATTGAGGTGGAGTAAAATGGGATACCAGAACGTTTCTGACGTTTCAAGTAGCTGCTTTCACGAAGAGCATCAAGGAAAATCTCGTTCCATGTGCGCTCAAAAAACGGATCCATGTTATGACAAAGGCTGACAAAGGAAACTTCTAGTTTCAAATTCGATTTAAACTCGGCAAAATCAAAGCTACGATTTTGAGTCAGGCCCGGTGACATTAAGGAGCTTTTGGTCAAATTATTATTGGAAAGTGATCATTTTGGTTAGCATCCAAAATTTTATAATCCCATAAGACGCTATGTGAACCGAAAAACAGATCAAAACATTGCCTATTCTATGTGTACTGATGTGAATTATTTGGAATGAACCACAGTGGAGGGTTAGAAAATCGATAAAAATCTGATCATCGGAGAACTTCGTCGTTAAAGAATCCCAGCAGACATCAGCTAGGTTGAAATCGCCCAAAAAAGCCATTCAATTTTGTCATAAACACAACATTCACTTAAAATTCGTCTAATAGAATCATTCATATCAAGCGGACTTTTATAATAGCCGGAGCAGCGAAGTGTGAGATAGAAGAGATTCATGCAGTAGGTTTGTTTTTCAAGTTTTAGTACGCAATGAACGTAGAACTCAGTTGATGACCCAGACAAGGTTGTAAACTTTTCAGCTGAAGACGAAGAGCACGCTAAAAGAAAACCTCCGTGTGTGCCAGCAGCCCTGTCACTTCTCGATACAAACTGGACTGGATGTCCACAAAACAGTGTTCGTTCATCTAATGTCGAATCTAGCCAGGTTTCGGTTAGGCAAACCAAGTCTGGTTGCTGTAAATAAATTGACTGCCAGGTCTCCAGACGTCGTTCGAAAGTGAGTATACTTTGACAATTGAACAGATAAATGCTTCAATTGTTATTTTCCCGTGGTGTAGTACCTAGTCATTCATTTGGCTGGATATCAATGACACGTCCTTTGTTGATTCTGTACACTTTAGAGGGGTTTTCGAGTTGTGGCCTCCTCTTTTGTATGCGAAGGTTGAATTGTTCAACCTATTCAGGGGGGGGGGGCATATTTGGATTAACAAAAACATCAAGATCATCGGCCAGCTTTCTTACGAGTTCCTTTGACGATTAAGTTTTTGCTCTTAACAGTTCTCTAACGTTGTTCCTTTTGAATTTCAGATACTATAATACCCCTAGCTTGAGGTTGGGTTTGCGTTGTTTCTACTATGACTTGAACTAAACTTTTGCTATCAACCTTGGTTCAAGCTGCACAAAATCTTGTTTCAATCAATTCGTCTTCCTGTCTCGTAACTTTTCGGGTTCTGTAGGGCATGACTGAGGGTATTGTTTGTAAAGAAAAAAATTTGCAAACACATTTCTTCTCAATCTCTAAAACTTAATTTCTAAAACAAGGTAAAGAAAATGTGATGGAGGGAGAAGTTTTTAAAACTGATACTTGGTAACAAAATCATATTTCAAAAACAGTAAGGTTTTGCAGATATTACAAATAGTAAATAGAGAAATTTTGCACCAAAAAACTCCCTTCTAATAAAATTAGCCGATCCGTTAAGATCTTTGACATTTTAATTGAATGCAGAAGATAACAAAATCATAAATTCAATGAAAAAAAAAACATGAAGCAGTTTGTAGAATATGGAAAACATTTTTCCTTCAATCTATCATCTTCATGATGATCAATTTTTGTAGTAAGAAAAATAGTTTCACGATACTTTCAAAAACTATGGAAAAAAAATTGAAAATTAACTATAAAAATTATCCATTGCCTTTACAAGAGAAATCATCACAAACACATCTGATTACAACAAGCCAGTTTAAACCCTGAAATGAGTAACAACTGAATTCAGTCAAAACGTTGCCGAAAAAATGTAAATAGATTCAGGCAAAATTAAGCAAAACAACTTACACCTCAAAGCTGACAAAACTCAACAGGATTTGCCGTATATTATATCTGTGATCGGAATTGTTGATAACTTTAAATTGTCAGTGTTGAGGAGTAAATTTTTTTGGTGATTTTGCCTGAATCGATTCACTTTTTTCGAAAACCTTCTTGACTGAATTCAGCTGTTACTCGTTTCAGGGTTTAAGCTGATTTTTTTTGTAACCGGGTGGGTTTGGAACAATTTCTTGAGTGAAAGCAAAGAATAGTTTTAAATTATCAAATTTTCTAAAGCATTTTACGTTATCTTAAAATTATTTTTCGTACTACAAAAATCGATCGTCATGAAGGCGATAGACTGAATGAACTAGAACATTTTCCGTATTCTACAAAACTCTTCATAATAAACAGCTTTTGCTCTCATACTAAACAGGTTTTGATCTCATACTATAGTTAACAGGTTTTCCATTATATTATATCTGTTTAAGCAGAAAACATTTGGAGCGAAAGACAAAAGAAAATTAAAAATTATACAACTGTAATAAAAATCAGATTTCGAATTCAACGGGTATTTGCAAGGCAAACCTGCTCAATATATGTGTATCAGCTGCAGCAATCTCGGCAAGAAGTGTCTAACAAAAAGATTCCGCGATTCTGTTCGGTGCAGGAAAAAGTGCAATTTTTATAATGCTAGCGAAGATAATGCTGCATCATAAAAGCTAGATAATAATGCTAGATATAAGATGATAATGCTACATAGATAAAAGTAGAAAGATGGCCAGCTTACGATAACTTCAAAAATTTTTTCAGGTGAACTAAAATCTTATCATAAAGACAATTTCAAAATTTGTTTTTCAGGTGAAACAGAATAATAGCGTAGAGACACTTAAATATAGGTTTAAAATCAACGACAGTAAAACCCAAAATGTACCTTAAATCTTTTTTCGGACAAGGTTTCAAAACTAGAGGAACCCAAAATGTACCTTAAATCTTTTTTCGGACAAGGTTTCAAAACTCGACGCTTTCTCGAAACAAACTCTTCACTTGCTTGAAAAGTCTTCGAAATGGTTTCAATTTTGATATTTCCGAGTTCAGAAATCAGAGAAGAGAGATCTGAGCTGCTGACTGAGCTGCTCATCACAAGACCCATTTGCTAAATGTACCTTACAGGGCAATTGATTTGGACTTTTTTCGCAAAAAAATTGGTAAGTCAGTTGTACTTACAAACTTTGACATATAAAAAAGCTTGTGTACAGAATCCAAGTTCATGCATGCACATTTCTTTGCGCAATTCTTCAAGTTTGCAAATTTATAAAAATCAACTTATATATCGCAACATTGATTTACAAGAGGCGAAGTTGCACTTCGCATACACAAGCAAAAATATGACCGACAACGCTACTGAGAAAAACTGAATGAGTAAAACTTTGAGTCTACAAAAATTCTTAAGTGACGCACGCCAATTATGAGTCTACATAATTGTTAAGTGACGCAAGCCAATTATGAAGCATTAGCACTACCAGTCAACTTGAAAAGAAATTTACCAACTAAAATGCCTCAATTTATAGAGCGGACGCATTTTAACTAGCATACGAAAAAGTTCATTGAAAACATCCGACCCTGGCCAGGTTCGAACCCTCTTATTTTGCTGCTGGTCTCCTTCCCTACCTGTACGCTACAGAACCATGATAACTTGAAGCTAAAGTGCTATTTGTAAAAAAAAAAAGTAGTCTGTGTTAATACCCCTAGCATTGGCTGCGCTTAATAGCTGGATCAAAATGAACATTTCAAAATGAAAACATTTTGTCGCAACAATTGCATCGCAACAATTTTTGCGACCTAGGTTGGAAAAGCTATGCGTGTGTAAATAACCATTGAGTTAAGGCGAAAATCCAAGCAGGCAAACCCTTCGAAAATTTCTTTTTTTATGCATCCCAGAAGCGACCTCACCCACAACTCTAGTGACGCCTCACCAGCACCTAGGTATCCTGAGAATCAGGGTACAGTTTAAAAACATCTGAAAAATCGAGGCCATAATACTTTTTGTTTCTGACCATTGAAAATGGGGAATGCATTTGTATTCGCGTGTGTTTTAATTTTTTCGCAAAATCAGGTAAATCAAACAACCATCGGAATGGGTTGAGTGATATATTATTTTAAAGCCTTTTCAGTCAAAGACGAGATAAACTTACTTGAAATTTTTGATCTAACTTCGAGCGACTAAAATGAGCGAGCAGGCTTATTTTAAGTTTCAACCAAACGCAGTTAGCACAAATAATCATCCAAATGACTGGAGATATTTATCATATTAACACCATTTTAGCCCTGATTCGAACGACATTTAAAAAGTCATTTGTCCCAGAGTCGAGAAAAACGGGTTCAAAATTTTTGAGCTTCCGTTCAATTTGAGCCAGAAAAGACAGCGAGCAAACTTACTGTCAAAGGACAGGCCGTGAAACTTATGCTTTGCTCCAGTAAAATTAATTTTCTAAATTATATTATTTACAGTTATGTACAGAACTATGTCACAACGAATTGAAGTATTACATCTAGATATTGCTCGATTGGCGTCTAAACTAAAAAGCTACGCACGATATAGAAAAGAACACAAGACAAATTTTGTGCAAAAAAGGCACAAACAAATTAAACATTTGATACACCTATGCAACAAGTTTGCGAGAGCTCACATCTCCAAAAACAGCATATAATTTCATAACGCCCATATTTTTCCTTCAATACATCAAAACTCATTAGGGAATTTGGATTCTTCGACAAAATTGGACGTTTTATTGCTCAAATACTTTTTTGATACCATCGATATCTCATTGTATTGAACAAACATTGCTTGTTGCGCTCGAAGCAGAGCTCATAGAATGGTTCCTCGACAAAACTGTATTGGAGCCCACACTAAGAGGGATAGAGTTCGAGCTGTGCAGAGACAGTCGACTATTTCTTCGCATCTTTTCTCTGTTTCTGTTCATCGCTTTACTGTACACATCGTGATCAAAGTAACCGGAGCCTAGCCAGATTTTATCTCTTAATTCATCTCCGATATTCTCTATCGATGCCACGAAAACTCCGATGATCGGTTTATGGTCGCTTGTATTGATTGACATACAAGAATCATAGAGCAAACAATTCAGTCGATTTTTCTTTTTACCACAAAACATAATTCGATCTGTAAAAGCCGGACATCGTTTTTTACCAGAAGAATCATAATCATCTGAGAAGAGATCGAATTTATAGGTCGGTAGAAACGAAATAGGAGATTCGTCTAGTTCCCCAAAGCAAGAATTTTGTCGTTGACTTATATTCAGCTGGTCATGGTCGACTAAGATCTTTAGGGACTCCTCCATAGTTGATTCACCATCAACAATATGGCCATTTTGATGTTCAGATGCATTTACACTGTTCGATGGGCTAAACAAGGAACGATTTGTGATTCGTTTCAGTAGGCGTTTGATTTGATCAAATTGCAATTTAAGTCTGAAATTGAGGTCTCCCATCCAAATGACGTAATCGAACTTGTCAAATATTGCTTCTTTTGGGACATTGGAGGAGGGCCTCTCGGTCAGAGTTGGCGATTCTGAGGGTTTGAGAAGGTTCCCTAAGATCACAACAGGTTGTTCATAAAATGATATACAAAAACCATACTCACTTGTAAGTTCAAGGTTGTCATTTTGTTCGCTCAAAGAATTTCTTCACGAGAAACCCCAATAATTTGTTAGTTTCACAACTCAAATTTTTAGGAAATGATCCATAAATGAAGCAAAATACACACAGCTTATTTAGTTATCCACGATCTACGAGGGAAAGGACCAATACACAATCAAGGACCATTTTTAGTAAGTATCACTTACCTCTAGTATCGTTGTTGAGAGTGGTTTTGGGGAAGTTGAGACTCTTCATGATTGTGTGGTAGTCTCGGATCCTGTCGTTCAGTTTGTTCTCGTGGGGAGTCAGGTGGGAGTTGATGATAAGAAATGACGTCCCGAAAAGGTAGAAGCCAACCCCCAGAGCACCTGGAAATTAATTCAAAGTAAACTGAAACTAAACTTAACTTAATCGGGAATCTAATTGGGGGGAGCTTTCATAACGCTGATACGTCATGTCATCTACGGAATCTAATTGATGTTTTCTGTTCAAGACTTCTATACTCGATTCATTTAAAGGATGCGTTAGGGTTGATAACACCAGCAGCCTTGTAACACTTAGGTTCGCAAATCCGTAATGAAGATGTCTTTTTCGCTTCGCAGTTCTTACAATGAATGATCTATTTGCAGACTTGTTTGCAAGTCGTTCAATTTAACCCTTACGCTACCCTTCTGACTTGATAGATCAATGAAATTTCTTTTTAACAAAAACAGATATAATCAATTTACCTTTGGTTTTGATCTGTTTTGCAGCTCTCGTCTGGACGAAGCAATTCTCAAACTGACTCAGGTGCCAGATTAGATCTCTTCTTACAAATATACACATGTACAGGACACCTTCTGTATTCATATGGGCCAACACGTGATTTAACCCTACAGTTTCCTGCAACTTTATTGCCCACTGGTTTTTGTCCGGGGTACTTTCTTGGGTCGAGACAACAAAAATGTCTGGGTAAAACTTCCGATTATCACTTCCTTCCATTTCATACTGAGGATCATCGGACGGAAACAAGAGATCTTTCATGTTTTCAGGTAGAAATCGTCCTTCCGCCATATTCCATGAACAGCAAAGTAAGGACACTTTTCGATTGGGAATCAGTCTGTCAAACTCGTCAGAAGATGAAGCAAAACCAGCAATAGATGTGTCGCTTCTCTCGCTTGCATGAGTGTCTACATACTCTGCGAACTTCTTCCTCGATTCCAACGACAGTCGATGAGCTCCAGTAGCGATGACCGAAGAGGGTCTATTCTGGTTTAAGAGTTCCTTGCTGATTTGAATTCCGTCGCTAACTGTAACTGTATCCTCGTCTTCTCCTTGCAGGACGACGTAAGCCGAAATTTCTGCATCGTCCGATACCTCATCATGTTCTCCTGGAGATAACAAACACATCTTTTACTTTAATTACACTGTTTACATACATTGATATATTTTTTTACATACAGTCGCTCGAGACACTTAAAGATCCTACCTTAAATGCTCGCATGAAATTCGAAAAAAAATCGGACAAGATCCACTGACCATCCAAAGGATCCCCTTTGGTACCAATCGACATTTTTTAATTTCCGCTGATCAAGTTTGAATATTTTGGCAAGAGGCCTAATTTGGCGTAAACAATAATTTGAGGATTTTCAGCGGTGTTAAAAGCGCACTAACACGCAAAAAAGCCTCCATGAATTTCATTTTAACTCAGTTACCCTTCTGAATAGACAGGTCAGCTATTTTTGTTTGCGTATAGAATGCGCTTCCGGTCCTACTTTTTCCAACTGTCGGTGGCCTAGGCGGCAACTCTCGGTCAACTTCATTCGGGAGAACCGGTGACGTCACCCTCTCAACTGCGTCCAATTCGGTCTCGAGTTCTTCGTCGTCTTCTTCTAGGACCACACTTTCTTTGATGTGACTCTTCCCTTCTTCATCGTCATCGGAATCAAAGTACAAAACAGTTCGCGACCTGGGCAGAAAAAAATACGTGACGCAAAATTTACAATAGAATAATTAATCAGTATAGATAAATGCGGTAGTGTTACCATTCATTCACAAATGAGATTACAAAGTATTACAATCTAAAGCCAATATCTGTTTTTCATGTCCTTCTGGCGTCCTAGCCGTACTTAAGACATCCGCTGAGCAGCTACATGTCCATCAAAAAATATTGCAAGAATAAACCTAATAAGAAACCAAACCTTTTAATTTGCGCACTGCTACTTTCGGGTGTATTCTTTTTCGTCGACGAGCGAGTAGGCGAGCGGCTACTTCGTGAGGCCATCATGTCTTCGCCCCCTGATTCCACTTCAGTCGGGGTGACAGTTTCACTCTCACAAAATTGCACCTCTCTCTCTTCCCCCTCCCAATCCTCCCCGGGGTCAAAAGGGGGTGAGCTTGCTAGATCAAGATATGACTCAGACTCCTCGGAGGCACGACGGAAGCTACGATTACTTGATTTAGCGGCTTCTTCTTGAAGTGTTTCGTTTAATTCGTCGTCCGACTTTGAATTATCGTCATTCTCATCTTCATCTTCACTGTCGTCGTTTTCCTCTTCGAAAGATTTGGCGCGTAGAAGAGCTTCAAGTTGCTCAGTATGCCTTTGAAAAATCAGAATATAGTCAAAAAAGTATAGGGCAGATCAACGATGTTTACCACCATGCACAACTTATAAATCATATCAAATATGAGCCGACAAGGACACTAAATCGAACATTTCAGCATTACAGCTCTTAACACCAATCGAAGGAAGATCACAGACAACACCCATACATTTACCTGTCTAATTACTGAGTAATCTGAAATTGAAAAACATTTAAACGATAGAATGCAAGCATTTTAAACTAGGAAATGAGGACTATCTAAATTGTCCAAACACCAGCTTACATTAATTTTACTTAGAAAATTAGAATTATAACTAAAGCGATCAAAATCTACAACTTAATGAAACTTCAAAAAAATCAAGAGAAAAAAAAAGAAAAACCTTTGAGAACCATCGTCGTCTTCTTCCAGCGTAAACAAATCTTCCTTCCAACCATTTTTTGTCTTCTCCTTGGAATAATTGTTTCCAAGCGGATGCTGAAAATCCTGCGTCTGAGTTAATTCCTCGCTTGTAAATTCCTCGTTTGTTATAGAAACAGTTGAATCAAAACTATGTACAGATAGCTCAGAAGCAGAATTGGCATTGGTTTTTTCTACTATAGCGTTTGTTTTTCCAGCATATTCATCGCATCCACCGCTACTCGATTCAAAACCGACGTCAGAATTTTTGATGCTTTGTTTACCGTTTCTGTTGTTTTTCCATTGCTGTTGTTGGCCTAACTCAGTTTTGTCATCAAAGTTGCGCAGAGAAATTTCCTTGGAAAAAATTAACTCTTCGTTCGTTTCCTGTTCATCACCTGTGCAAAAATGATGAATCATTTACAATTTTATCAATTATTCATTTCATTTTAAGTACATATTTTAAGCCTCATGAAGTCATATGATGTTCGGTTGAAGAAGGTGTTTCTCTTTTGATATATTTAGTTAAGAATATTTTAAACAGGCGAAGCTGGGCTCCGCACCACTTGCGATACAAATATGAATGACTATGAAAATCAAACGGAAAAAAATCAAACAATCATTTTAGTCAATAGAAACTGCAACAAAAGCCCAAAATATCCGGAAAAAAATTGCCTACACCATTAGTAACTCTAAAACGAGCTTTGGGAATGCTATACAGATGCCAAGTTTTCAAAAAAAAATTCTTTCTGCGTAAATAAGCTGACAAAAATTAGCAGACAAAAATAAGCATACAGACAAATCTAAATTAGCCAAAATTTTTCATTTGCAAGAAAAACAAGTCTCAACGGAAATCGAAATCCCGGGCTTTGTCGTATCAAGCATGGAGTTACAGCAACTTGGAATAAAGATGAAGCATCGAGCTACAGGAAATAAGGCGACAAAATAAACAGACGGACGATAGTCCGAAAAGGCACAAAAACTCTAGTTTGCAAAAAAGGGCCCAGCCGAATCCGAATCGCAAATCTTTGCCGTCTCAAGCAGTTTTTTTTACCTCTACGCCAGATGCGCCGGATGGTTGATTGGATTTGAATTTATAAATACCAAGCGGAAACAAAGCCGAAAAAACCTGAGTAGAAACCCTTCATGCCGAAAAAAAAATTAGAACTTTTGAAAGCTGTTAATCCCCTTCCCCTCAAAGCACACACGCGCAAAAAAAACTTCGCCGCAATAAGAGGCCACTAAGTCGATATTAATTAAGCCCAAACTATCAAGCCGATAAAAAAGCCGAAACAATGAAAAAACAAAGTGAAATTTTAACAAATCGAGCTGGTAAAAATACAACAAATTTCAATAAAACACTTGAAAAAACTGCAGTAAAAATTTTTACGGCTAAAATAAACGATTCTAAGATGTGGCGACTTAGCCGACAAAACAAGAGCAGACAAATAATAGGTCGAATTTTTTTTGAACCGGAACATTACTCGTTAAAAAAACTGGTCCTGGTCAGATTCAAACGCAGGACGTCTGCCGTCCCAGGCGTATTCGTTACCACCAGGCTAAGTGTGCAAGACACACTACAAAATTTGAATTCGTTATGAACCAAGGTACCAAAGTTGTGGACATATTTGTTTACGGGAAAAAAGTCTAATGCCCGATTGCAATGGTAAATTCAGGTATTTATGGCTTGTCAGGTTCCATTGTAAAAAATGGTGACCCAAAAAAGAAGAACTCCGAGCAAAAACTATAAACGAACTTAAGAAAAACTATTTTAACTTGGTAGCACATTGGGAGTGAGGAAAATTGCCTAAAATGATGACATAAATGGCCAGAAAAAGATCGATAGCTCTCAGAGACAGTAATCTTCCATCTATTTCTCTAATTCTAAATTTCCATTGGATCATCGCTATTGGCGCTAGTTCAAACATCTGAAAGTTCAAAATCCGAACATACGCAATAATTGTGCATTATAAGGAGGCAATAATGGTAAAATTTGGAATGTTCAAAAGTTTAAATACTAAAAACATATCCTCAAGACGGAACTGCTCTTCCGATGTTAGAATTACTACTGATTTGACATTAATTCGATCTTTTATCCCAGATTTTTGGATATTTGCATTTTTCTAGTTGTCAGATTGTTTCATTATGTTCGCCTAATACGCATCAATTTTGATACCAAAATAATCCAACCTTTAAACTCTGCGGGCTTATCGCTTTCGATCCCGGTAGAATCCTGGCGCTGTTCTTCAGTTTTCTTCTGAGTAGTGTACCTATCCACATGGGCTCGTTGAAGATACACTTTCTTCTTCGCTCTTTTTGGAGTTTCTTCTAACGGTGATTCACTTTCACTCATTTCTACATTTGACAACTCGAGGCTCTTGAAGACAACTTCAGCAAAATGGTCTAATCCTGCGCAGCTTTTTCATGGATAGCGTGGTTACTTCAATCTCGCATTATTCTTTGTTTCATATTATTCTGAAATTTTTACCAATCAAACTACCGATTTCAGATAAAATGATCAATTCATTGCTTTGGCGTGGCTTTATGGAAAAAGAAAAAGAAAAATTTGAATTAAATCATAGATCTAAAACACATTTAAAAACAAGGATAGACGGTTACTGTGCAAGTAGCACAGATTGTTCCGACTATAGTTTTGAAAAATTACCTAAAAAACTTTATGAAAATTGCTAATAGAAAACGTGAAAACACAAATTTTTTCTTTCGAAATAGTGTCGTTTCTTTTCTGCGTGGTGTGATAAAAAGATATGAACAAAATGAATTTAGGCATATTCGACAAGCATAGTAATCAACAAGACTTAAGACTTAAAAGAAGTTAACAAGTCCACCTCCCCCTCCACCTCAAAACACACAGGCAGCCAAAAAACTATATTTTCTCGTCAAATGATACAATATGAGTCCACTAAGCCGATAGAATATACGCCGAAACCTAATAAGACCAAAATAAGAAAAAATAAAGCAAGCAGAATTAAATCAAAAAAATTTAAGACTAATAAGACGTTATTAAGGCCCCTCACCCTCAAAACACAGACGCACACAATTTTTTTTCGCTCGTTGAAAGACGCAAAATTCGGCTGAAAAGCCGATATAATGTAGGCCGAAACTATCAAGCCGAAAAAAAGGAAAAAAGCGAAAAAAACGTTGTCATGAAAAACTTGAACTATATTTCAAAGCCGATGCCGATAAAAAAATAGGTCAAAACATTATCACTGCGGTAGAATAAGGTTTTAAGCGAAACAAAAAGGACAAAATATATACGAAGTCAATAAAGTAAAAAAAAAACTTTAAAAAAATAACTCTACAATATAGCAACTAAGCCGACAAAACATTAGCTGACAAAAATAACCCGACATTTTTTTGGAAACTGACTAATTCCACTTCAAAAAAAAAACAGGTCATAGCAAATTCAAACCCAGGACCTTTTACGTCCCAGACCCATTCGTTACCTCCAGTCCAAGTGTGCCGCTGATGCAAAGAATTTTGAACTCATTATGAACAGTTATTTACGGAGAAAAAATCTAGTACCTGATTGCAATTCCCTTGCTTATAAAGAAACAAACAAGAAAAGAAACAAACTTTATATACATAGAAGCGACCCAGACCTATGCAGTACTCGCTAAACAAAATCATATGCCAAAATTCAGGTGTTTAAATAAATTGACAGTAAGAAACTGCGAAACTTTTCATAACTTCCAAGTATTTCAAAAGGGTAGGCACAATCCATTTATTCTCTTACACACTTATGACTCAAAAAGCTCATTTGACAACCTCAAACCAGATCAAAGAATCATACGCGAAAACGGGGAAAAAATCGGAAAAACACGCGAAAACCGGATTTTTATTGTTCCATTATTTCCAATCAGATAAAATTTAATTATGGCAAGGATAAAAATAAAAATCAGAGCTGTAATCATCAGAGCACTATTAGCTTCAGATGAAAATGAAAATCATTTTCAGGAAAAAACTTCAAGACAAACAAATGCCAGCGTTATGTTATCATTAAAAAAAGAACAAACGGGATACTCTGTTGACAAAATTAGGGTAGACGATAGCTGAGCCGTAAAAAAATGATGTCATATGATGTTATTGCAATGTGGAAGAAAGCTGAAACTTCAAAAAAAAATTGGGCTAAGGGAATCAGGCCGACAAAAATAGGCAGACGGACAATAGTCCGAAAAAGCACAGAGTTTGCAAAAAAAACAGGTCCAGGTCGGACTCGAACCACAGGCCTTTGCTGTCTCAAGCAGGTGTGTTACCTCTACGTCACATGCTTCGGTTGGTTGACTGAGCTTTAATTTATAAGGAAGCATTATTATGATCCAAAATCATGCATTCGAAAAAAACTGAAAATAACCTAGACTCCATTTTTGAAAATAACCTAGACTCCATCCTTGCTTTCTTCCCATTGCAATGTGGAAGAAGCTGAAACTTCAAAAAAAAATTGGGCTAAGGGAATCAGGCCGACAAAAATGGTCGGACTCGAACCACAGGCCTTTGCTGTCTCAAGCAGGTGTGTTACCTCTACGTCACATCTTTTATGAAAATAATGAAAATATAGTTGCCCTAAAAACTACATAAAATGTGGTGACAAAGCCGATAATATAAGCCGGAATCTTTTCAGTCGAATAAGACTTTCAGCTGAACAAAAAAATCGGAATTATAAAGAAATTTGACATGGAAAATTTAGAAATGGTTTGAAAAAGTTCCCAATGGAAGGGATATGTAAAATGCAAACCCCAAAAAATCCAGAAAAAAAATACACTAAACAAAGAGCTATTCGAATGCTAGAATGAAGTCGAACTTTTAAAAAACTCCTTTCTGCGGCAACTAAGTTATCAGAAATAAGCAGTGACAAAAATCTAAAACAGCCGAAAATTTTCAATTTGCAAAGAAACAGGCCCCTACTGAAACCGAAAGAAACAGGTCCCGACTGGCTTTGCAATCTCAAGCGTCGGTCTTATTGCAACTTGGAAGAAAGCTGATACTTAGAAAAAAATAGGCTACGGGAATCAGGCCGACAAAAATAGGCAGACGGACAAAAGTCCGAAAAAGCACAAAGTTTGCAAAAAACAGGTCCCGGTCGGATTCGAACCACAGGTCTCTGCTGTCTCAAGCAGGTGTGTTACCTCTACGTTACCAGCTTCGGTTGATTGACTGAGCTTTAATTTATTAGTAAGCCTTATAATCATCAAAAATCACGAAATGAACTGAATGGTTGACTGAACTATATCTTATTAGGAAGCCTTCTTATACTCAGAAATCATACATTCGAAAGAAAACTGAAAAATCAAACAGAAAATCGCTAAAAAGATTTCTTTTGAAAATGAAAATTTTAGCGTGTAAAAAAGCGTGTTAAAAAACGTGTGAAAAAGCGGGTCATCAGGTTATTTTCTTCAAAGTGAATTTAAAAATCAATTGTATAGTTTCTAAAAAAAATAACACCCGGAAAATAAGCCAACAAAAATCAATTCAGTCTACAAAAAAAAAACATTTTTACATCTGAAAATTATTTTACCAGTACATCCAATAACGCATTAACTCCAGGCATATTTCTCTCGGCATTAACTCTAGGCACTGTTAAACGTGTAACGTAGTAAAAAACGAGATCTCGAAATTGAAAATCAACATGTGAACAACGTTGTTTACTGGAAAAAAACGTCTTGTACACGATTGCAATAGCCTTGCTTATGGCAAGGGTAATTATAGTAAAAACGGCTTTAATAACAAGAAGAATCCGTGCTGTGGCATGCAGGCAGAAAAAAAAGTAAAAACAACAGGTTCACGGTGCGATCGAATTCCTGAGTTTTGTCGTTCGAGGCATGAACATTTCCTTTGCACAAAAGATGTTATATGAGATGCTGAATTTCTACGTATTATAGAAAGCGTTCAAATAATTTATAAATTCTCATATAAAAATTGTTAACCCAATTTTAAAATTTTATGTTTCATTTTGATAACGCTAGCTAATTGTGAGTATAATATTAACGTTTGAGCCCAAATTTTTCAACTTACTGGAACTTTATTTATTCTTTCCTATCATGTTTTGCGTCTACTCTATATTTATTGCAAGCATACTTAGAGCCTTTATAGCTTTGAAAAGGACATCGGGATTTGAAAGTCAGAATATAGACAACAGACAGTTGGAAAAGAGTAATGAATTCACGGAAACTGAAAAAAAACTTCAAATTGGGAACTTAAACAAAAAGCTCTTTGAACTTCACAAACAATTAATGCTTGACCCGTTTTGATAAAAGTAACCCAATTTCAGAAAACTGGAACTAGCCAACAAACAGTTGGAAAAATTTAATGAACGCAAGTTAACAGAAAAACACTGATCGCTGTTTATGACAAAAATTAGATGGCCTAAAAGGAAACCCTATTTGAAAAAACGGGATTAATAGGTAAATTTTTTATTTCGCTGAGAAATCTGTTAATTAAAATCCGTTTTCAAAATTAAAAAATGATCATGGTTTTCGTGACTTTTACACTACTGCTGTTCGATAGAGGAGTGTGCCTTCTTTTCAACAAAGGGAATGGAAATGAACTGAAATTAATCAGAAATTTAAGTCAAACCTCCGTAAAAAAAGTTAATTTAAGCCTGAAGGAATTTAAAGACTTTTGAACACTGAGGTGAAGCGGAGCTTCGCGCCACATGCGATACAACACAATCATAAAAAACTTAAGTCGAAAAAATGAAAAAGTAAAAAAAATAGGTGAACCAAAAATTGCGCATGTCTCGATGAAAGACACCTAGGGCCCAGCGAAAGCTGGAGGTACGTGTTTGATATTTTTTGAACTTTGTATACTGATGCAGCCCAAAACCTTGGTTGTTTCTCTACTAAACAAGTGAAAAGAGTGAAAATTTTTGAGATTTTGGAATTTTTGCAAAACATAACTTTTCTCATACAAAAATTAAGGAGTAACCGCATCTGTACGAAAAATTCGAGCAACCAATTTTTTTGATTGAAATTTTTATCTCAGATTTGATAGGGTAGTTTTTAAGAAAATTCAAAAAGTTTACAGAAAACGAGCAGAGTTCAAAAACTTGACTTTGCGAATTCCATGACGTTTTTCTGCTAAAAGCATATAGTGGCCGGTAAAAAAAAGAGGCTTCCCAAAATCAAATTTGTCATGATAGTTATCGAGAATAGTCCAAAAAACGGTCAACAAATCAGAAAGTTGACATTTCCGAGAATCATAGTTTTTATTTAAGAACAATTGAACCTAGCCTCTGAAGCAGAAGAAATTCGCCCAACCTGTAATTTCCATTGAACCCAAAAACCCAGGTTTGTCAGGTTAGTTCTCGAGAAAAGTCAAAAGTTTCAAACAAAGGTCAAAAAATTTAAAACTTTTCCTAAGGCCATAATTTTTTTTGAGTTAAATTTTTTTTGCGTAGTCGCGTACGCAAAGGAGCTTCCTACAAACTGTGCTTTGAATTGAACACAAAATCTAGGATATGGGAGGGTATTAGAAGGTAACACTGTTAAAATTTAGAACAGCTCAAAAAATTTTTTTTTTTAATTTCTGAGCACGATGAATTTTTTATATCAAAAAAACTGTGGGTGGCCGCTAACTCAGGGGAGCGTCCAACAATCCGAAATCTCCATTGAGCTCACAATCTCGGGAGGTTAGTTTTCAGCAAAATTTTAAAAAGATTCAAAACCAGTCAAAAAAATCAGAAATTTGACTATTCTGAGTGCCATAATGTAAAAAAAATAAGCGCAGCCGCTTATGAAGGGGAGCTTTTCGAATCCGCTCTATTCATTGTAATCAAAATCTGAGATTTGGTAGGCTAGGTTAAAAAACGAAAAAAAATCAAAAAAAATATCGAGCAAACATTTTCCCAACAGAATTTTTCGAAGGCTGTAGACAAAGGGGTAAAGCAAAAATGTACCATTGGAAGATACAGGCACACAAGTATGTAGTCGGGCTTTAAATGGATACCGCTTTTGTGAAAATCAGTAGAAGGGCTTCTGAGAAAAACTTTTGCAGCAAGAGATAAAATATTCAGAAGCGTCTCAAATAATTTAAAAAATTAATCCCATAGACTTTCATAATACCAGTTTTTTTTTTTCAAACAGAAATTCTAGGCAAACATACCAAGCAAGACATTTGAAATTCAAATTAGCAAGTGAAAAAATATACGAAGCGGAAACAAGGCCGACAATCTTTGAGCAGACACCAGTTTAGCCAAAACTGTTTTGTAAAAAAAAAACTTTTAAAATTCAAGTCCCCCTTGAAACTACCAGTACGCACCCAGTAATTAAAATTAGATTTTCATGAAATTGACGATGTCAGCATAGCAGCATCCTAAGTGATTCAACTGATTTTGTTTAACTAGTTGTAAACCCGAAAAAAGTCTACATTCGATATGATAGTGCTTACATATTGCAAGCTTAAAAAAACTAAAAAAAAACTTTATCAAAGCACCTACATAAGAGTCTGAACTACGTTCATCGAAACTTGACAAGAATAGAATAGAAGGTCAAATGGAGTTTTTTTTCGCAAAAAGTCATAATACTTAAAGATAACCCATTTCTGATCAGACGAAAATCCCCAATTTGTTCCACTTGAATCGGATTTAACAACTGTTAGAACCAAGTTAATATCCGCTAAACGGCTTTGGTAGGTACGATGTTAATCTGATCAATGATTTTTCAGAATCACTTTTTTTCAGTAAATTAGTGTTTCCAAATCACACATCAATTAGGCAACTTCCTGCTTAACTAGGAGTAAACTTCCTGCTTAACAAGTTTTTACAAAAATAAAAAACAACCAAGAACAAAAAAAGGGCCGATCCCCCCCCCCCGGAGAAACTCCTAGATCCACCCCTGGTAAAAAAAATATTCACTTTAACAAATTAAATTGAAAACTATTACAAACTGACGTTTAAAATTCAAAAACAACATCAGCAAAATAAATATGGTATATTAACAGATGTTAAATACTGATAAAATTGTCGAGTGGGCGTTTGATGATCCGAATAAATCCAAACATGATTCTTTTTCCTCTGAGGTCCAAAAAGCAATGTGATACTTCACAATTTGCTGAATTATATCCATTCTGCTATCTTTTAATGTTTGAAGCAATCCATTCTAGTCCCTGGTTTAACCTGAAAAAAAAATTGCAATGGTAAATTATAAACGATTTGTTTTAAAGTGGTCGAATGCAATTTGTGCTGAAGCACAAAATGTAACCAGTTCACATGCGATCAACAAAAAAAGGAGATGAGAATTGTTAGAACTTGTGAAACAAATTCTTTGCAGACATTCGTGCATTAACCAAACAGGGTGCCAGTGCGTAAAAACGTACAACGAACTTTATATGGAGTTAAGAACCTTACTCACACAGTTTTTTTCTCTAATTTTGCCTTGCTTCAATGCCGGTGTACTCACCCTTCTCCTGTGATGGCACAACACGACTGTATGTGCCACCCGTGTGTCTTCAGGGCGGTCAGTCGGAGAGACTGTGAAATCTCGCTGGCAGTCATACAGCCCTCGATGTCCTGCTTGTTAGCATACACCAACACTTGCGCCTTATACAGGTCCTGAAAGCACCGACATGGTCAGGAATACTACTAGTGCTGCTACGTATTCGATCGTAGCATACGAGAACGTCTTCTGGGACATATCATGTCACTCAAACCATTCTGATGATTTTTGAAGCATCTGATTTCGCTTGGAAAGTTTAAAATTAAAACAAACAAAGTTCCGATCCCCTTTATGATGTCTGTAACCGCGTTGACAGAGTTTTTTTTACTCCATCAAATACGAACGAAAGTACAAGAATTTCAAGCGCCTGGGGAACATTAGCATGAAATACAAGTCGTACCAAAAAGATAACCGAAAAATGAGCTTAACTCATGTTCACACAGCGGCTCAATGCTGACAGCTCAGATTTGATTAATTTTTCTCTTACAGTAAAATATTGTAAGATAGTTATTCTTATAGTTGCATATCTGAGGTCAAAGATTATCCGAGTTATCACTTACTAGTAATTTTAGAGGGAATCCTTCAAGCGCGAACGGCCGAATGCGCAGAAACTATTAAGTTTTCAAAAACTGGAAGGGAAAAAGCAATAATTTGAACAGTTTAAAGGATATTGATTGGTTGAGAATTTTCGCGAATTCGCACATGACAACAGCCGCGTAATTCTCCACTACTCACGTCGTGTGCCAACATTCTGTAAAATTCTTCTTTAGTGACTGACAGGCGGTCTCTGTCACTACTGTCTACAACTAAGATGACAAAATCTGTATTGCCGTAATAAGTGCTCCAACTTTGTCGCAAGGATTCCTGCCCACCTGAAATTGCATATACTAAAGTTTCTATGCACATTTCCAGAACAAAAGGCTTTTGTTTACGCCTTTTCAATTTAATTTCATGTTTTAACTGAAAACTTCAAGTTCTGCCTGAAAATAGTTTTAAGGTTAAGTCAATGAACAGCAGATCATTAACCACATGAGTACCCATTTGCGTTGCAAGAAGTACAAAAAATTGATCAATTTTCAAAAAGAACAAAACTTCCGTACAGTTTTTCTCAAATTTGTTGTGCGTTCGATGCATTTAAATAACCTTCTATTAAAGGCTTAATAAACTTTTAAAACTAATTATAGTCTACAAAATAGTAAGTTCATCATCGAAGCTTGAGATTATGGATTTGCTGCGTTTTTATTCGCGCGGTGTGAAGAACAACATACCTATATCCCACATAATGAAATGTATGTTTTTCCAAGTGATCTCCTCCACATTACTGCCAATAGTGGGAGATGTGTGCACAACTTCATTCATCAGTCTAAACATCAAAAATGAGACATCCAACCGTGACCTCAAAAAACGAAGACATAATTTCATCAAAATAACTATTAAATAAGCATCGATAAAAATGTCAAAAAACTGTTTTTCTAGAAAGCTTCGGTGGAACAAGTAGCTTTGCCAATGAGCTAAACGGGTCCTGACTTACTCCAAACTGTACACAGCATATTATAATGGCGAAAAAGTATACGACTACTAGGCGAAGCGGAACTTCGAATCATGTGCGATACTAAAGGATATTCCAAAGTTTTTCTAAGTCTAAAAAAGGAAGTCATAAAAGCCATTTTCTCGAAAATAGTTTCAACTCCGCCGAAATATTGGAGATATAGAGAGCTTGCTTTGTTCCTCTTGAAACTTTTATGATCAGAAAAAAAAAATTTTGGTGCTGCTTTTAAAAGAATCTGCATTCATCGCTTTTTTATACGAAAGGAAAAAAAAATTAATGAAAATTTTTTGAAAAAAAAACATTGGCTACAAAACTTCCAAAAAATCATCCTGAACTTTCGCAACTTTTAAGGAAATCAAATAAACAAATCATTGGAAAAAATAGCGCTATCATCTTACACTAAAAATAATTATTTTCTCACAGCGGTCCGTGCAGGCTTGATAGGTCCATACCAACGCTATATAAATACATCGGCAAAATTTTATGAATAAATCAAGTGGCATAGGATTGCACTCCTCAGAAGTGCAAAACTTCTTTTGGTTCTTATAGAGTTTATTGTGTCCGTGAATCACATGATTTTGAAGATCTTTTCTTGCAGTGCTTTTGTAATCAAGTTTTCGAACTGCAAGGAAAAATTGTAGTTTAAGTCTCTGGACGTTTACCTATAGCTCCGAGACAAATGTGAAAATTTGTGTTTGCAAGATCAAAATAAAAAAGTAACGACACCAAAAATGTGAAATTAACTTACAGCTGATACAATATTGTGGTTTTCCCTGCATTGTCCAAGCCAACTATAATTATTTTATATTCTGAAACACAAAATTGTATCAATTATCAACTACTGCAATGAGCAATTTGAAGTTCAAAATTATACCTCGACCAGAGAAATAACTCCAAAGACGGGAGAGAACGTAGCCCATTGGCTTCGTTTGGCGATTCGCGACCTTATGATGACAAGCGAATCACATTATTTCATTTTATCTGCAAGAAGTAGTTGAAGTAGAATTACATAGAAATTCAAGTTAATCAGATGTTCAACAAACAATAGTTACAACAAGTGTCTTTCATTTCGTTGTGCAGCCAAAAACTCTTCGAAAAGTATAGTCAAAAACCCTTCGAACAGTATAGTCATCACATATTGCAGTCAGAACCCTTGGAAATTTCTAAATATGGAAGTGATGATAAATATGCTCAGATTCTAACGAAGCTTAACCAAACAATTCCGTAGTGTGACCAGCCGCGCCCTTAACTTCACATACTAGCGGTAGAAAATATATCAATCATCTACTTAGAAACCCGACTAGCAGAACATGCCCGTATCAGCTCACTCGTGGGAAATCACCTCGAAAACTGCATCGGAGACGCTTCAGAAATTTGATCCAAGACTCTGGACCAGACTGAAGATCCCGGACGACTTGTAACGCTTAAGCCCTGTATATCCAAGGAGACAACCGACACTGAACCAACGCGAAGAATACAGGCAGCGGCAGCTCACCCTCAAGTTGTGATGGTCACTTTTCTTTGTTCCGGTTTAATTCGGCGAGATTTGTAATTACTCACATACTAGTGTAGTTGTTTTGGTTTTTTGTTAACTGGTTCGCGATGATGTCGACCATTTCAGATGATAGTTTCTCTGATGAGTAACATTCGCCCGGAAGATACATATCGACGGAAAATAAAAACTAAGTCCTAAGACGACTGGTTAACGTCTAAACAGAGCTTTACATGCTTTTAACCGTCTCTACCAAGGCAGTACTTTCGGTTTTTTTTTTCAATGGTAATCAGAAGGTCAAAAGTATCATAGTAACCGAGGTTACAGTCATGAGTCCCTTCATCATGTATTCCAGTCAAAATCCTTGGAATTTTTTAGATATGGAAGTGATAATGATAAAAGAAGATGACAAGTGTTTAAGTCCTTTTCAATTAAAATCGATACAGGCTACGTTTCTTCAATAAGAACACACAACTCGACACGAGATAATATAATATACAAGTGTTACAAGTAAAAAATTTCGTCGAAAGTTATTTTGTCATTTATTGTTCCGAGTACGCAAGCGGCGTTCGCAATCTGTATTGCCAGGGAGATTCTCTGTTTTAAAAAGCTGCCTGCTCTGGGTTCCTCAGTGCATATGCTTAGGTTCTTACAAAGCTTGCTCAAAAAAACTTCTGTGCTGGGGCCGGCCGCGCCCTGAATTTCAAAAGCTAGCGGTTGAAAAAGATATCCATCATTTACAAGATCTTTATACTTGTCAATTTTTCGCTCTTCCGCTTCAGCGGCAGCCGTACCAGGGTTACAAACAGACCCGGCATTAATCCTATAAGGAGCTAAGGAGTCTACTACCGTTAGACGGAATGTGAGTAGATGATAGACTCTGCTTTAAAAGGGCATTCAGGTTTGAATGCCTAGAGAATCTCCCTGTACTTTTGAGGCAAGGAAGACCATGCCAACCACCCTCGGTAACGTCTTTTCCGCACACGCATTTATGCCGTTCGCATATTTTTGATCCTAATCGAAGTCCTATCGCAAATCTGAATTGTTGGTTCGACAGTTTTAACCTTAAATTTTTGCACGGGATGACGTTCAACCATTGGGAGCCAAATCTATCATGGAACGCATTGAACCTTTTTACTTCCGTTGGTTCGAGTCGTAAAAACAAGTCTGCAATTTCGCTGTCAAAATTGGCTCCGGTCAATTTTTTTTGGATTTCCTTTTCCGAAGCCATTTCAATTTTTCCAAGGTCAAACCACCGTTTAAGCGCATCATCATAGGTTCCATCCACATGCTCCAAACCAAAGATTTTGCTCAAGGCATCTTTTGCTCCTACTGCTGAGGCTAAGAAAGCGGGTAAAGCGAGTAGACGAGCAGAAGAAACGCCCAAGCCACCTTTGGCTGCCGGGAGAACTGCTCGTAAAAACTGGTTATGTAACAGTCGCCTACTTCGGTCACATATGAGGCTTAAGAAAAATAGGCCCTATAACCATTGGCTCAAGAGTCAGGGACACTATCTCTTGTGTTTTTCTACCTCAAGAACGGTCGGAGCCAATTCGGTTCGCTTGCGACATGAGACTAGAACCCGTTACAGCTTAAAGGCTACTACGAAAATATCCCTCCCACTCTAGAAAACAAGAACGTCCCCATACCTAGGTCTCGAAATACCCAAAATACATGAACGCCGTTAAAAACAGGGTCGGAACAATCCGTTAAGTTACTTTTTATTCAGATGGATCAACCTAAAACTCGCCTTATCTCAACATAACAATCATAAAACACACTCGAGAAAATTAAATTAGGGACTCACATGTTGATGCACTCGAATACAAGGAGTAATTAAATTGATAAGCAACTCGAGAATTAAATATGATCACTAGATAAGTTCAATACTAATCAGTTTTGATAACAGAAATAAGTTTTGACTCTAGAATTGGAGTTTTTGTCTGAACCATTGGGACACTCAAGCTGTCCACCTTTCCGTTGAAGGTTCACTCTGGTTCGGTTCGAATAGTTGTTCTCTCTTCTCGTAATTATCTCTCTTCCTATTTCAGGACAAGACGGCTCTACTCGCGTCTTATTTTGTATCGGGAAATTGCGAATAGCAATTTCGTGCTGTTTTCTTAAGTATTTTCCCGCAATTGTAAATTCGGTCGTTCTGATTTTTTACTTTTGTGTTTTGAGTTGGTGCGAGAAAACTGACCATGACAGGCTCCATTCGAAATTTTGATAACAAAAACTTCACTCCAAAATTACGTATTTTCGTGTCCCTCAAGGTCAAACTTCCAGATATGACCGACTGGCACATACTCCCCGGACTCAAGATCGATGTCCTCATCGCGTGCTGCCTCTGTCAGTGAATCCCCAGAAACCCGAGTGTCACTCAAGATACAGTGCCAGTGGTCATTTACAGAAGTTTGCAGCAGACTTAAGTTTATCTACCTTCCAAAATTCACAACCATATAAAATTTTCACACTATCGCTAAACAGCAATCAAAATCTGCACACACCTGCACCTATGGAGAGCAGGAGGGTGGAGAGACCGGCGGAGACAAGTCGGTCGAGATATCTGGAGAAGGTAAAGGAGCTGGACTTGGAAGACCTGGAATGCAGACAAGAAATGGCGGAAGCTCTGGGTCTTGAGCGCGTGTCACATGAGGACTTAAGTAGACACCAGTGCGTGGACTGGTTGAAGGCTCACCAGACGCATTTCTCAAGAGCGAGAATAATGGAGACGGCGGATCTGATTGGGATTCCCACAAGATCAGTCATGGGACCTATCAATTACAGGCCTCTCAAGTTGCTGGGGAGTCCGGGAATCATAGTGGAGCCCCCCAAGCATCGAACGAGCATTGCCAAAATCAGGTTGGCAATTCCAGCGCAATTGAGGGTGGTAGACAAACTGTTGGACCCAAGAGAAATGGAACTGCCAGATGCCGCTTATGGTTGGCGGACGACCCTAAAGGCACGAGGTTGGCGGACGACCCGAAAACACCCAATTGGCCAAGACCTTGGCAGTTTACGACAGAGCAGATCCAGCTGCTGCGAGGGTGGTCATCGTGGCGGGATCGGACTTTGAGGGAACGTCTCCCAAGTTATTTTGGCCGGAAACTCTGATATATTCACTGCCGGGAGCGGAGCTGAATCAAATCTTAACCCTGGTGGTAGCAATAAAATCGGAGATGCCTTGCGAGCCCGAGCTACTACTGTTTGCGTGAATGAATTACCACTTGCTTGCGACTGGGTTTCTTGAGCAACTCAAGGGCGATGAACCGGCGCCGAAGAGAATCTGGGAAGCTATCCAGACGTTATTTGCAGCGATGAATGAGGTACAGGAGAACGTGACCTCACGATTTGGATCTAAGACAAGAGTGGTGTTCACGACGTCCCCCGGGTACGCGAGCATGCCTCCTGCTCTGCAGTTTGTGTATGCGGTTTTGATCTTAATAGCCGAGGGGAATGCATGGCGGATCCTGATGGCAGCTCCCAATCGAGAGTTGGAACCGACGATTTTGAGGCTTCGCAAGTCAGAACTGGCGGCGGCGTGGGCGGATGTGTCCCACGCGTTGAGGGGCTTCTATGAGTTAGCAGATATCCTCATTGTATTGGACAAGGTCCTCTTGCTAGAGATATCGAATTTCGCCAGACAACTCAAGTTCAGTCCGGCTATAGGGGACGACCATCCAATAATAAATCACTTGACGGCCAGCTTGTGGTTTCGAAGCATGGACTTGACTATCACGAGCTCCACCAGTAAGTCCAGGGGACCGAGTAATGAAAGAAAGAATGTGGCTGCAACAGAGAAGCAACTGGAGTCGATGGTGTATCGACTGACGCAAGAAAGAGGCAGGTGGCTGTTCCTGACACCAAGGCTGAAAAACGCTACGGAAAAGACAAAGGAGAATGTCCCACCTGAAGCAAATCTGGAGTTTTCTTGAGGAGCAGTTGGAAGTGGCCGAGAGTAGGGAAATGACGGTGACCAGGTTCGTCAAAGCTGCAAACTAGGTCACACTCAGAGGATTCTGCAGGGAGCACGCAAAGGGCGAGCTGAAGACGAGAAGGGATCACGAGATTCTCAAGTTCTTGAGTCCTTGTTGAGCTGGAGTGTTTGGTGCAAAGGAGACCATTTTTCGAGCCTTTGTACAAAAAATACTGAGCATGTCCATCAGCTTGTTGTTGGCACTGTACCTAGTTTACCCGAGGTACCTTTTCAATATGGGTCCAGCGTATATGTTCAGTCCGACTGTGGAAACACTCCGGATTGACGGGTATCTGGCACTGGTGCTCCTGACGCATGGTGAACTGGTGTCATTTCATCGACTGACAAAATATGGGGAGCCCCTGTCGATGGGAAAAACCCACTCGAGCCTTGACACCTACTCATATAAGTGTGCTGCAGGGCTAAAGACGCTGCTAGTGAAGTATCTCCTGATGCAGAATCGACACATGACTGGCGAGGAAAAGAATCCGAAGACGAAAGATGAATGGAAGA